CATAGATTCAGAAGCAACTAATTAATCTGTGGCCAGGCCAGTGATAGACACTTCTCAACTGTGGTGCTGTGGAAGTATATTAAGTGCCTTATGTTATAACATCTCAGTAGTAATATTTCCTTCGAAATATCTTTCATAATTTATCGGTATTTCAATAGTAAAATAAATTGTAACAATTTACTCTTTTGAAATTTCGTTCGCTTGTGGTAAAGAATGAAGCTCCATTGAACCTAAACCAAAATTTTTATGAATTCTAACAGGCCTGAATTTGTAAATGGTTCTTTCTGCTGTGGCTGTTGTAGTTGCGATCGCCATTATTTTTTCAAATGGAAGCATGTCCTGCTTACTACGTTTGCAACCCGATGTAGAACTGCAACTCTGAACGTGGTGTGGTGACAAAGTGCCAAGCAGGTGGGCTTCGAACTCCAGACGTGTCGGGTTCACTTCCGGCAAAAGACAACTCCCTTGAGAAAAGAATTTACCACACGTTTCTTCCGACCGTGGTTGCTCAGTTTGTAGAGCATCAGACTCAGAGCCGAGACGTCCCTGGGTTCCAGCTCCGGATGGTTCACTCACCTTTCTTCCTTCCGAGTATTAATTGAATTTTACTCTGTGGGAAGAAAACAAGACACTACACATAACCTGTCATATGGTTGCTGTCGACTTTGCCTTTAAGATAACGCACTTGTCGCTGATGGCATAGAAACGGGGACCGTTAACTTCATATATCGCCCCATCATGCAAGTGTAACTAAGATCGACATCATACTTTCAGTTACACTTTTTTTACAGAACCGTTGAATATTGTTCATTACTTTTCTTCTTTCAAGCATACCGGCCTTTTTTGAGTCTTTCGCTTGCGAACTGAAGTAAATGTCCTATTATTATTTCTTTTTCGCTTTCTTACAAGTAAAAATGGCTCATTCGTTTTCATTTTGAATGTTAAACAACAGTATTTTATCTTCATCTTCATCTTCCATCGCCGCTTCTCCTTTCGGGTCGCGGAGGCAGACGCGTCAGACAGT